AAAAAAAAAAAAAAAAAGAAGAAAAAAAAAAGTAAAGAAACAAGGAACTTCGAATCCAGCTACGTGGGGAGGCCCTCCTCACGTCACCAGTGCTTTGAGGAATGTATCTGGCCAGGAAGTGAGAAAGATGAAACGGGTCGTTTTCATGTCTTTTTCATTTTTTGTCTCTCTTTGTGAGGTCCCTGTAGCGCCCTGCCAGCCAGGCAGGGCGGATTTCACGCGAGGCAGATAACTGCCTCGCTTTCTTTCTGGTGCAGACAAGTACTGTGGCATCCTGTATCGGACCGCAATCACAGCATAAGGGATGCTTTTTTTTTTCTTTTTTTTTTACCTGCTGGTCGTGGATAGACTGAACTGCCTACGGCCGAGTTTCAACTGCAATTGAAACTCGGCCCCTGACTAAAGTGCCAAATCGGTGTTTGGAAGGCTATTACAAACCATTTTCGTGACTGCGCCGAAGTTACCCCTTTTTTTTTTTTTAGGGGTCGGGGGGCATAGGCCTGTGTCCCTGAACCTCCCCCCCTGCTCTAAGAGTCGTGTATGTGTGTGTGTGTGTGTGTGTGTGTGTGTGTGTGTGTGTGTGTGTGTGTGTGTGTGTGTGTATCTATGTGTATGTGTGTGTGCCCCCGTCTGGGCCTCGCCGTGATTGCAGTTGGATACACGTTTTGGAGTACTGCCCTCAGGGCCGTGATTGCAGTTGGATACACTTTATGTGTGTGTGCCCCGGTCTTTGGCCGTGATTGCAGTTGGATACACTTTTTGGAGTACTGCCCTCAGGGCCTCACCGCACGGCACACGAAATGAAAATTAAGCGAGTGCATCTGCCCACGAAAGGTGGAAAAATACACTCGTTACTATGTAGTATGTATAGCAAACTGACGAACCTGGCCATTTTCTGCCGGACGATGCACTGTTTCGTTTTTCGTTTCGTGTGCCGTGCAGCGACGCCCTCAGTGAGGGCACTTTGGCAAAACGAGGAACACGGGGAGCACGACTGTCAGACTCACCAAATAAGAACAAAAAACAAAAAAAACCCAAAAAATAAAACAAGCTTTGGCCGTGATTGCAGTTGGATACACTTTTTGGAGCACTGCCCTCAGTGAGGGCACTTTGGCAGAATGAGGAACACGGGGAGCACGACTGTCAGACTCACCAAATAAGAACAAAAAACAAAAAAGCCCCAAAAAAGAAAACAAGCTTTGGCCGTGATTGCAGTTGGATACACTTTTTGGAGTACTGCCCTCAGTGAGGGCACTTTGGCAGAACGAGGAACACGGGGAGCCAGGATAAAAAATGAAAAAACAACAATGTTTTCCTCTCCCCGTGATAGTGGTCAGATGCATTCTGGAAAGTGATCGTTTGAGTATGGCCTCCGTGACGTCCTTCCACGACATCGAGTAGGAAAGTCCACGACACACACACACACACACACACAC